GTTCAATTATATAAACAGGTATATTAATTAGGGCACCCTCCAGCTACAAAATGTAACGCATTTTCCTGTGTGGGTGGGGGACATAAACCTCTTAACCAAAGGAGACTTTCTCAAGAGTATTTTTAGGTAGGAAGGAAAATAACGAAATAATATATTCATGAGGTTCTTTCCATACTCAATCAGGATGTAGTTTTACTTACATGTATGCTACAGTGAACTCAAAGAAAGCAGTGTGCCCTGAATAAAGAGGTTATAAAATCAAGATTTAACAGCTGTTTTGGTTATCTTTTCTTTCATGTTGATTATCATTTGCCCTGGAATATAAAGAAACAAATAATGCATGACAATCGTTTTATCTTTACATAAATATACATACAATCTCTTGATTTGTTAGAACAAGGCCAGTTCATTACATATAAGAGACTTGAACAACAGATGTTTGAAAGACATAAACACTCTTAGGAGTCTCTAGTATTATTTTATGTAGTTTTTCATTCAGTATTGTTTTGGTGAGTGTCATCTCTGCCTTTGAGATTGACTGCAGTGGATATGCACATTTATTTATGTCTTTGGCAGTATTACATTGTGAGGTTTTAATCTCTTCCATGGTGGACTATTTTACTGCTGTTTGAAAGCCTTGAGAACACTCTTTTTCTAAATCACCCTTCATGGAAATCTAACCCTGATGTGTCAAATTTTTCCCCCCAGTGAAAGCTGACATAAATCAAGTAACGTTAAAGGTTAACAGCAATATAATTGTGAAATTACATCAAAAAGTAAAAAATAATAAATTAGCTATTCCCAAATCCATATCTCACCACACACACACACAAAAACCAGTTGACATGTGGTCGCAAAACATTATTCATAAATGAAATCTAAAGAAAGCAAGTACACGAGTACTAACATAATATGAATAGAGTTTATTGCAGTTTTATTACATTTAATTAAATTTTTTTAATGTATGCTTTTTTCAATACAGTATGTGTTTACGTAGTTTAATTTAATATTTTTGCTGAAAGCTTTGTGACACCAACATACACTCAATTGAATGTAATTATGTTCTTGTAAATCTCATCATGTCCACTTTCTGTTTTTCCTTGAAATTTAGTCCTCTCATAATATGCATATTTTCAACAGGAGTAACAATTTGGGAGTTGTTTACCCTTGGCAAGAAACCTTACGATGGCATCAGGACCAAAGATGTACCTACTCTTCTAGAAAAAGGAGAACGCCTTCACCAGCCAGTTATTTGCACAATTGATGTATATATGATCATGGTTAAATGTGAGTTAATTCTTATTAAATATACTCCCCATGTGGATACTGGGGCCCCGTGGGGTTGGGGGGGGGGGGGGGGGGTTTACAAAATAAAAGGATCCACTGCCTCCATGACAAGCATTTCATTCTATTTAAATAATTATTTTCCTTCAGAATCAGAATGAATCTGCCTGAGAAGCAAGGAACTAACAGTCTGCATACAAATAAGCCGGATCTGTAAAATGGATATGCACACAAAACTCTAGACCAAAGTCCAGAATTTAAGAACTTTCCATGAGAGTTTACAGCTGGTCAACACTAAGAAAAAGAAGAGGCAGAAAACTGCAGCAGTTGGATTTGAGCAAAATATTTGTACATTGGCTTCCAAGTCGACCAAGTCTAAAATGGGTGGGCACCAGTAAAAGTCCTAGGATATAAAGGAAGCTGCCACAATATTGATCACACCACCCATCGAATGTCTGTTGGAAACATCTTGTATCAAAGCTTGATGGGTCTCGCTAATGAAAACGATCCTTTACTTTACTGTTTAAACTAAGGATTACACACTTTGATTGCTAGCATATGCAAACACGACCTGAAAGATGTCAACATTGATACAAACACTTGGTAGAGATCAGCTGCAGTCTGACTCCTTTTGGAGGCAAACAGTGAAAGACAAACTGTCTTGGTTTAAAAGAGTCTAAATCCAGCAAGCGGGAGAGAGGGGACGTCTGAGAAAAAAAAAAAAAAAAACTAGCCTCAGAGTGACAAAGTATTAACGTTTTTATGTGAACTATGTAGCAGAGACTGCAATTTCCGCATTGGACTTTACAGTCTTAGCAGACAGTCCCCAAAAGCAGGGGCACAACTCTGTGTTCTCCAGAGACTGACTTCTGCCTGTATGGGAAAAATTTATTGCATTTCATAAGAAATTCATTTTTTTTTAAAAATTGTAAACATTTCTTACTAACTTTTATTGTTCGTGGCCCTACCAGGTTGGATGTTGGATGCTGAATCTAGACCGTCATTTAAAGAGCTGCAGGAAGAATTTGCAAAGATGTCAAGAGATCCTGGTCGCTATTTGGTGATTGAGGTAATTGTATTTTTAAAACAGTTTTGCTTCAATATTATATTTTTGTAATAAAGAGAAATTCTGGAACCATGAGGTAATGTTGGGAAAAAATTGGAGTATAGATACAAATTTAGTGGAATTGTTGACCTGATAGGGTCAGTGCAAAATTTAATTTACAAAGCGAAACATTGTGTAGTACCACCACTGATGCTTCTACTGGTATTGCTTAAAAACTCAGGCTGCATCATTGAGCCACAGACTGACTGACTGACTTTCTACCCCATCAGGACATCACACAAGCGATAAACACCTGAAAACACAAAGTGCCACCATGTGGATGAGGATCACCGTAGAGGTCCCAGAAACCGCGTTCAGCCATAATTATGGCCGGGCTATTGCGGCCCCTGTCATGAGCCAGAGCAGGGCTTCAAACAACAAAAAATTGCATCCTAAAAAGGATGTCAAGATAATTAAGCCACAGACTTAGTAATTGGTAACCAAGTACTTTCCTACAGCATCCCAAATGTAGTAGTCATAATTTCAAAACTATTTTGTTTAGCCCCTCCAGATTATAATTGGAATATTTTGAGTATTGTTTTTTCTATTTCAATAATGTTTAGTTATGTTTGGTATATATATATATATATATATATATATATATACAGATATGTTGTTGTTGACAAGTTAGAATTTTCTGATGATTGGGTGAATTTTAGCATCCTGCTGCGCTTATTTTCTTTGCTTCTAATTATCATCATCATCGTCATTGTCATACCCTCTTCTGCTGTAAAGCGTCGTGAGAAGGAATATTGTGCGATCCGGCTGCTACCGGCTATTCTAATTATTAAAACTTTAAATTCTCAAAATGGGCATACAAGTTGAGATTCTTCTGAAATCTTCATGGTGAATATATTATTCTATAAACTGATACACTTGAAAAATATTGTACGAATGTCATGTTATTGTTCATGTCGTCCCTAAAGTGGTTCCAGAACCCCATTTTGGGGGAAACAGAATAGACCCACTGTCCCTGCTGTAAAAGATAATTAGATATTTATTGAGTTCAGATTCGTTTAGCAAAAAGGCTCAGTGTCAACCACTCAAAAGGCTCAGTGTCAACCACTCAAAAGGCTCAATTTCAACCACTCAAAAGGCTCAATTTCAACCACTCAAAAGGCTCAATGTCAACCACTCAAAAGGCTCAGTGTCAACCACTCAAAAGGCTCAGTGTCAACCACTCAAAAGGCTCAGTGTCAACCACTCAAAAGGCTCAGTGTCAACCACTCAAAAGGCTCAATGTCAACCACTCAAAATGCTCATTGAAAACTGCTGAATAGGCTAAGTGTAAACCTCTCAAAGGGCTCAGTGGCAACCACTCAAAAGGCTCAGTGTCAACCTCTCGATAGGCTCAGTGTCAACCACTCAAAAGGCTCAATGTCAACCACTCAAAATGCTCAGTGTAAACCGCTGAAAAGGCTCAGTGTAAACTGCTCAAAATGCTCAATGTAAACCGCTAAAAATAAGTTTTAAAAAAAAGTAAAGGACCCTTTCCACGTCTTTAGGCGTGTAGGGCATATAGGGCTAGACCTATATTTTTATAGACCAACGGCACAAGATGGGTGATGTGGTCAGCATCACGCCGGTCGCCTGTACTTCCCGGGATTGCACCCGGTACCCACTCAAGGCTGGGTCGACCTGGGAGCCAAGATCATTTTTGAAGAAAAGTCTGGCTCTGCCAGGGAGCGAACCCACGACCTTCCAATCCGCGGCGCGCGTCTAGCCGCTCTGCCACAGCAACTCCCGAAACCGCTAAAAATGCTCAGTGTAAACTACTCAGAAGGCTCAGTGTCAACCGCTAAAAAGGCTCAGTGTCAACCACTCAAAATGCTCAATGTAAACCGCTGAAAAGGCTCAATGTAAACCGCTCAAAATGCTCAATGTAAACTACTCAGAAGGCTCATTGTCAACCACTCAAAAGGGTTAGTGTAAATCACAACACAGTGTTTAAGGGTTATTTGAGAAGAAGAAAATTTCATGTCATTTGCATTGATTTGTTTTTTATCCTACATTGTTTATAATTTCGCATTTCTGTTTTTACAGATTGTGATTTTCAGTTTGTGTGTTTGTTCATTTAGTTCCATAGTTATTTATTTACACATTTTTGTAACATTATGTTTTTTGATTTTTCTGTCATGTTATGTCCGTTCTCCCCACTCCCCACCCCACCAGGACATTCTTATATGATTTTTGTTGTATATGTTCTCATTATATTTTAATGCTTTTGTTGTAATTTTGGATCACTAAAGTTAAGATATAGTTCCGCCGTATTTGCTCAGTAGTAGTAGTAGTAAATTTTACCCCACTACAAGCAACAAACACTCGATGACACAAAGGGCTACCATATTTGCTCACTTATTTACTCAGTGTTTTTGGTGCATGTTACTGAATATGTGATAGTTATTGGTGTTCCTGGAAAGCTAGTTTATTAAACCCATAGTTGCACATATTGATATGGATTCATACATCATCTTAGGTTTTGTTTTCTCATCTTGTTTAAGTTGCTTGTGAAAGTAACTGAGGAATAATATCTTCAGAATTAATTGTACAAGAAAAGCAAAACTTTATATAAAATCAATGAAAAGTATCTATAATTACTTCCCTTGCACAGGGAGATAAGCACCGTAGATTTCCTGAATTTACATACTCTAACTCCGAGCTGGATATGTCTTCTGTGGATTGTGAAGATAGAGATCCCGCTCCTGGTACACCAAGAGCCGCTGTTACCAATGTTACTTCTGCTGTCATCACATACGACAATGGCTCTGCTGTTGAGGTGAAGATTGCCAGGCATTTTTCCTCTGTGTTATCATGGACTTTCTTTTCTTATCTTCCCATTTCTATTTACCTGATTGTTCGGTTTTCTGTCTTTAGTTTTTTAAAAGCAAGCCTTTGTTGTTTGGCACATAGTTGTTTTTCCAACTTCCCTCCCGTTTACAATCAGCTTTCGGTGTGTTTCTTTCCTAAATAATATAGAATTAGATTTGAGAATCCACGTTTTCTCCCAGTCAGATTTAATATTTCTTCCAGTGTGTCATTGCTTTGTTTCTCTGCATGAATGATTTGGAATTAAAATGTTGCTGTTTCTATTTTTTTTAATCACTAAATATAATACTGTTTATTGGTTTGTAATTTTGTGTGTGTTATTAGTGAACTCATTTCTTTTTCATTAAGATTGCACCCAAAGTTCAGTTTTAATATTGCTTCTGAGTGTTTATAAGATGCCAGTACTTGTTTGTTTCATAACAGTTTGGCCATCTTTTCAGACTAAAATCAGTTAATGATAGCTTGTAGAATGTATTTAATATTTATACATCACAGATCAGGTACATGCATGTTCATCTAAATGTTGCAGATGAACTTATATCATACAAGTTACTTGTCAGTGTTTCAGAAGCTTCATTTGGTTTGTGGGTATAGTGACTTAACTGCCCTGAGCAAAAGTGTTGGGAACGGTAACTAATTAAGGTCTTGGTTGATATTGGATGTGTTGGGCTTAAAGGTACCATAGCCTAGCTGTAAACCACAACATAATGTTCCAGCTGCCCATTTAGAAAAAGATGTTAACTTTTTAACAGACTTGTTATCTTTTGCATACACAGTTTTTCACACCATATTGTTACAGACCAATCTAGGCACTAGGTGGTGGGCACTAGGTATGGTCAGCATTATGCCAGCCATCTTTATTTCCCCAGGACATACATCCTGGTACCAATTTTAGGCTGAGTCGACCTGCGACATCACATACCATGATAAAAATCCATGCAGTGGGTTTTGGTACATTGAGATTACAATTTGGACTCATAGATGTCTCTAGAAGCAATATGTTACTTTGTTACCATGCTCTTTTACTGTTTTGTAACTTGGTGATCCCAGCATGAGAGTTTGGTTGTGTTTGTGCAACACTGCATACAATTCGTTATTGCTAAATGGTGTAACAACTTTTATTGTTACCATTTTCATTCATCATAATATTGTGACATATTGCTTTAACCCTATTGCTCCGAAAAGTCCTAGTTATTTGCCCATTGGTGTATTTGCACCTGCGCAGCATTTATTAAGATAAGATATATTTTTTAACTAAAAATATTATTTTATGGGGTTTTCTTTTTCTTATGAACTAAGTAGCTTTTATAAAGCCATTTTGACATCATAATTTCCCTGTTGCCTTAGTATTAGAGGTCACAGGGTCACTGTATGAATCTAAATATATATATATATATATATATATATATATATATATATATATATATATATATATATATATATATATATATATATATATATATATAATTTTTTTAGGCCGGGGAATGTATTCCATTGCATGTTTCACTCCATATGGGTTTATTAATTATAATTACTATCTTAATATGTGTCAGGAAACTTTTTTTTTTTAACTTAATGTAAATATAGTTTAAAATCATTTATTAGTGAACTGTCAATTATTTTTTAAGGACTTTTTTGTTTTTGAGAAAACCAGAGGAATCCAAACCTTTCTTAAAAGTTACAGGACTAGAGAGTTATTTTTTAAAAGGAATCTCCATTGCATGTTGCCATTTTCCTTAATTTGAAGGTTGGAGCTTTATTTCCAGACTTCATTGTGTGGTCAGCAAGCACATTTATTGTGTGTGTAAATGTGTGTCTGGGGGGGTGGGTGAGTTATTTATCACTAGAGCTACAGAGATTGTGATTTCTGCTACATTTTCAGCAACTCTATTAAGAGAGAGTCTGAGCCAGATGTGTGATAAATGTCAGTGCAATGAATTCGATCAACTCTGGTTCATTCACTTTTTTAAAACCACAGAACTAAAGTTTACAATTTACAGACTCAGTATTGTTAGACTGTTGGTCAACCCATAGATGTGCAGTTTCCCTCAAATGTTTTTGAATTAAAAATTGACATCACAGCACTCTAGACACCCCTATAAGCACGCCATCACCATCTTCAGCAGCAGGCGCAGTGTTCCAGTTTCGATGGCACCAGTAACTGTCTGATTGTGTTTCTTGCATTTCTCCTCAGCGTTGAGCGCCGGCCAGATTCCTCTTGTAACTCCTTGTAGTGTCATTCACCCCAGACCGTAATGATTTATCTGTGCATCCACACTATTCACTCGTTCTAAGGAAGGGGCACCATTTTCTAGCTTGTCGTTCTTAAAGGGCCCTCACCATTTCTAGCTTGTCGCACAGCTGATTCTCGTAACCGCAATGTGATTTCAATTACTACCCCCACTTTCTCACAGTGCATAACGAGCATGTGTACAAGCTGATCCTCTTGCAGCTGTGCTCTTGCCTCCATCCTCCATTCACAAACACGTTGCATGACCTGGCTTTGCTATCCAAATGGATGCTAACTACAGTAATCCTCTATAGATAATCAGATTCTTTCCACCCTGCACATGAATCATGCCGTGAACCACCTGAATTCTCAACACCAGCTGGCCAGTCCCTGCATACTAAAATAATAGGATTCTTATTAGTAAATTTTCATGATGTCTACTCTCTTTGCCAAGTAGTGTGAAGACATCTTTTTGATAATGCTCATACCGTCATATGGTGAAACTGCTTTAGACAGAAGAAAGAGTTGATGATACTAGTATTTGCTTTTGTTGCTTTTGAGTCCTATCACCAAATTACCTGGTCATTTTGCCAAGATAGTGGTTCGAATTAATGGTGAATTGCTAATGCTCAGCAACATTGGGACACAGTCATACCTTCTACTAGAATACATCCGCATCATCTGACAAGCGGGCTACAAATGCACTGGGTGGCATGGGCCAATAGATGGTGTGTCACATTCTGAGACAAATGTAGCACCAGCTTTCATTCACCCTCCCTGCATACTAAAATAAGAAGCCCGTGCACCATCAAAATATACGAAATACCCCTGAGGAGATGTTTAAAGAGCCCACTTTACCTGAGTAGTATGTTGTGATTTTTGACATGGAGAAACATATCAAAAATAGTCCCAAAGCCAGTAGGAAGACAAATACTGAAGAAAAAAACTAGAACTAAAGTGGAACCACAATGGGGTGATGGGGAAAATACTAGTAAAGCATAGCATACTAACTTCCACACTTTATGGGTCATACTGGCAACTGCTGGTTGAGCATCTAAGTACCTAATTTTAGGATTTAGCACAAAGTGCAAAATCAAGCCCAGAGTCATCACAGGATGGATGAAATCAACCCCATATTAGCAATGGTGAAAGCTGGGAAAACAAGCAGGCACTGAGAAGAGAACGGCAGGAGATCAAATTTGCAAAATACATAGCTGAACAGTTCAAGATATGCCTGTAGATCACCCGATGGAAAATAGATTAAGAACCTATCCTTGGGACGGTTAAAAAGAATGCAGCTTTATACACCAGCAAAAAGGAATATGTATGCAAACTCCTGACTTTCCAGAGATTGGGCTGCCCACTTAAAAGAGATTCCGGACACAAACCCCTGGAAGAGAAAATATGTAAACTAACGTACAAATCCAGACAAATGTGAAAGCGGATATTTGACAAGAAAAGGCAAGATAGTGTACAGGCAAAATGGCCACCCTCAGTTATATTGATAGAAGTTTACCACAAGAACATTGGTCAGAGTCTAATACAGTATGCGCCCGCAGGACAAGTGCAGTTAGAAATGGTGGTGGCTGGGTGTACATTGCGAATTCCAAAGATGTGGTACTAGGGATAAGTCCAGCCGTACAACCCGGAAGTAACTTATAAACTACGATGCAGAAACCCAGGCTATTAAGATAGCTACAGAGAAATAGCCTAAAATACCAACCTTGATTCACAGTCCATGTGGTAATGTTTTTACAGACGCTAAATCAAGTACTTGAATTCCAGTTAGGAAACCTACCAGAATTGCAAACACTGCTGACAGCAACAAGTTTCAGCGTTCATGAAGAGTGGAATCAGTGGATACGCGTCTCACTGTGGAGTGTCCCTGAAATGAGAAAAGTGATCAACTGGCAGGGGAAGGTGCGAAAAAAGAAGCAGCCGAGATGTACCAGTCCACATACCACCAGAAGAAAAGAATCAATTAAAAAAAATCGATCAGGAAACCACCAGCACCAGCACAAGACTGATATTTTTATTATGGAGCAGACCAGAACAAGTCATTATCTTCCCCTCAGAACGGGGCACAAACGATGACGTAACCACATGTACACACAAAAATTCACGATGGTGTTCAACCAGATATGTGTATCAGCCATGTGCCAACTGTGAAATGTGCCCCAGACCCGCAGAGCAGTGACACTCCAGGACTGCCACCGAATTTGACAGACATTAAGGCAAACCTTTTGGCCAGAAAGAACATACAGTGGAACTTAAACCTCTATGGCCCACTGATACTGAAACTATCAAGACATTGAAATTTGATACCTAGACAAAACTGCTGATATAGATAACTTATTTCAGGCGAACGAAAGAAGAAGAAGAAGAAGATACCTTCTTTTATTTATAGTTCATGCCATGTAGCATTATTAATGTCTATTAACAACCTTCCATCTTCTGTACTTTGTCAGTTCTGACACAGATGATTCTCCATGCCTGATTGTGAAACTGTCCAGCTACTTCTCTCTCTGTGTCTTCCTCTGCGTCTTTTCCCCTAACGCTTTTCTACCACGACGTTTATTCCACTTTTCTTTTCTCATGACATGGCCGATTAATTCAGATATGTCTCATTTTGACATGGGCAGTCATTTCTCTTCGTGAGTAAATTTCTTTCTTTCAGGACATCTTCATTACTCTTTTTTAATGTGTCCAGGGTGGGATGTTCTCATCATTCATCTTAAAAACTACATCTCTGCCCCTTCCATAAAATTTTCCCCTGTTTGGTCAACATCCGTGATTCACTTCCATATTTGTTCATATTTGTAACTATAATTTTATTAATGAATAAATTATATTCTTTCAGGGTGATTCATTAATGAGACTTCCAAGTGTCTCGTATGACAAGAATGACCTGATTCATGACATTGGTGGAGGTGGCTCAGAAAATGTTGTGGAAGCGGAGGAGTATCTGAGTCCTGTGGAGCAGCAGCATCAGCATCACCAACACAGGCCAAATTCTTTGCTTCGACTCTACGATAGACAACAGAGCAATATTTCTGCTGTAAGTCTCCATATGAAATAGTTAAACATAGATTTTAAAATATTTTTTAAATATTGAAGTGGGGGCTGGCCGAGCAGCTATGAGTACTAGAATTTCACTGGGAAGATCTAGGTTTGAATCCTCAGTGTGGTCATGGATTTATTTTCTGTCCATGAGTTTTAAAAAAAATATGCTAATTTGTGCAGTCAGTGGTGAATTCTTTTTTTGTCATTTACAGAGATCTATTCCATAAAATGTTTTTCATATCAGATGTAGTTTGTATTGTCCTAATCTGTTCTTTATCTCTGTGAGAAACCTTGTAGGTTCTGGGACTCCCAACTTGTTGAAACAAAAAATTCAATGTGTCAGGTCAACAAGTATAAATATCACAGCCTAGCCGTAAATCACAACACAAATTGCAAAATGCCTTTTTAAAGGGAAACACAGAAGAAGATCTCTGTGAGACAGCTTCCATATGATGCCATCCATGTGATAAGATATGAAAATAGCTATAATCGGTGTCATTACTATGTGCTCAGTTTCTCTCATTGTGTATGGAAACATATGCATGGTAGGAGGGAGTCGCCGTGGCATAGCGGTTAGATGCTCGTGTGCGGATCAAAAGGTCGTGGGTTTGCTCCCTGGCGGAGCCAGAACTCTGTTAGATAAACATTTAACTACTGACTCCATATGATACAGTTGTTAGATAAACATTTAACTACTGACTCCATGTGATACAGTTGTTAGATAAACATTTAACTACTGACTCCATGTGATACAGTTGTTAGATAAACATTTAACTACTGACTCCATGTGATACAGTTGTTAGATAAACATTTAACTACTGACTCCATGTGATACAGTTGTTAGATAAACATTTAACTACTGACTCCATGTGATACAGTTGTTAGATAAACATTTAACTACTGACTCCATGTGATACAGTTGTTAGATAAACATTTAACTACAGACTCCATGTGATACAGTTGTTAGATAAACATTTAACTACTGACTCCATGTGATACAGTTGTTAGATAAACATTTAACTACTGACTCCATGTGATACTGTTGTCAGATACATGTCAGAATAATTTGCAGTTCCCAGAAAATTAAAATTTCTTTAAAAATCCTAAGGGCTGAATTAAAAAAAGAAGAAAAAAAAATTTCATTTCACATAGTTGTTAGATTAACGTTTAACATGTCAGGATGATTTAAAGTTCTCGGGAAAATGAAATTTCTTTAAAATCCCAGGGGCTGAATTAAAAAAAAAAAAAGTTTTTTTTCTGAGGGAAAGGGTTAACTTTATAAACTGTTTTCCTCCCCAAAAATTGTATGTTTTCTTCCCTTTAATATTTATGTTTCCTTCACTCTAAATCATATGTTTTATTCCGTCTAAATTTTACATTTTCTTCTCTCTAAATTGTACGTTTCTTCCCTCTAAATTGTACATTTTCTTGACTCTAAATTATACACTTTCTTCCCTCTAAATTATACACTTTCTTCTCTCTTAGTTGTATGTTTTCTTTCCTCTTAGTTGTATGTTTTCTTCCCTCTAAATTGTTCCTTTTCTTCCCTCTAAATTGTATATTTTCATCCCTCCAAATTGTTCTTCTTCCCTTTAAATTGTTTGGTTCCTTCCCTCTAAATTGTATGTTTCTTCCCTCTAAATTGTAGGTTTTCTTCCCTCTAAATTGTAGGTTTTCTTCCCTATAAATTGATTGTTCTTCCCTCTAAATTGTATGTTTTCTTCCCTCTAAATTGTATGTTTTCTTTCCTCTAGATTGTATGTTTTCCTCCCTCTAAATTGTGTTTTTTTCCCAGGCTTCTGCTCGTTCACCTGCTGAACATTCTGAGTTCACTGATGGAGCTAAGGGAGGTATTCTTAGACAGGACAGTCAGAAATTCAGGGAGAAGAAATATGGTCATCTGACAGCTGCAGCCCGGGCCAAGCAGGAAAGAGAGTTACCTCAAAACAGGGGCAACAGCATCAGTTCAAGATATAGTTCAGATCCTATTAAATATTTACGTGACAAAGGTTAGTAAATTTTTTTTTTTGTAAAATGAGTGTTACGGGCTTAAGAATACACATAGATACACACATGCTTACACATGATATTCTTCCGGAAGACCGATGACTTCCGGTCAAAATGGACGTTAGGCAGCGGCACTGTTCGAAACGGAGGCAAATTTTTTTGCATCTGCCGGACTGTGGCCGATGCATTTTTTTTCCATTTGTAGACTGGATATAGTTTCGTCGCCCAGCTTCTGAGTTGAATGCATGGCGTGACCCTGTGAGCTGCGGATTGCATTTGGAATGTTTTTTCGACAGTGACCAACGTGTTGGTGTGAATTGTAGATTCAGAAAATGGCGCGATGCCTGTCGTGCAGTGTTGTAGTGCCCGTATGTGATTAAAATTTATCGCGTGGGCAACTGCTGATCTGTTGACGACTTCTGCTACCATCAATGATGAACTGCAATTCTAATACTGTGATAAACATTCTGTGTGTTTTTCGTTGGCACAGGAGCGGAGCAAAGAGGGGGTGACCCGTTTGCTATGAAGCTGAAACTCAGACTACCAGACATGATATTCTCTCTCTCTCTCTCTTTCTCTCTCTCTCTCTCTCTCTCTCTCTCTCTCTCTCTCTCTCTCTCTCTCTCTCTCTCTCTCTCTCTCTCTCTCTCTTTTCTCTCTTCTCTCTCTCTCTCTCTCTCTCTCTCTCTCTCTCTCTCTCTCTCTCTCTCTCTCTCTCTCTCTCTCTGTCTGTCTGTCTGTCTGTCTGTCTGTCTGTGTTAGAGATCTTTTTTTTAAAATCTATAAGCATAAGGTTTCCCAGTTTGTTGTTTTTGAGTTGCATTTTTAAAATGTCATTCTTTTGATGAACAAGTGTAAGCACAGTTATGTACCTGAAGGTTTTTCTGTTTTTTGTTGAATTATTCAGCACAGAATATATTTCTGAATTGTGAAATTTTTCAATCATCTGCCAAAAATTATTTTGCATTTGCAAATGTTTCATTCAGTCTTTTCACATAATTATTTTTAATGCCTCTGTATCTTAAACAATACCTTTAAAAAAATCCTAAACTAGTTAAAACAAAAATTCAGAAACTAGAGTACTTAAAAACTAGTTTAAAGTAAGAGCATTTTTTGCAACACTTCAAAAAGACATAAAAACGTTTTTTGAAGAGAATGGTTTAAGGCAAAATTTCCAGTACTGTATTATATGCTAAAAAGCATGTGAAACAACATTAGCAACTGATGGAATACACACAAAAAACATGGCCTGGTGAAATGAAGATGTAAAATTAGAAGGGGGAAAAAAAAGGAATATCAGGTTAGTTAGTTAGTTAGTTAGTCTTTCCTCTTGTGTCGAGTGCGGCACATAGGGCAGAGGTCATGACTCTCCATGCATGGCAGTTCGTTGCAATCTGTTGTAGGTCTTGGATGTTTGAGTGGCTCATGAGTGAGCCTTCCCTGATGATAGTTCTATGTAGAGTTTCCCTTGGTCTTCCACGAGATCTTTTCCCCTGTGGTGTCCAAATGAGGGCTTGGTAAGGAAGTCTTGATTTATCCATTCTAAGGGCGTGGTTGACATAGTTCCAGCGGCGTTTTCGTATACAATTAGACACATACTCTTGCCTGGATTCTTGCCTTATTTGTGTATTGGTTCGGAAATCTGACCATTTGAAATTTAGTATTCTTCTAAGGCAATAATAATTTTCAAAACTGTCTAATTTTGTGTCTAGAGTTTTCGTTGATTTCCAGCTCTCGCATAATATCAGAATATCAGGTATGAAACATTAAATACAATTTTGAAAACAGTTATATTAAATATTTGGCAATGAAAAGATATTTTAACCAATCAAAAGGAGAAAGAACAATCATTTTTAGAACTTTTATTAGTTCATTTAATTTTAAATGGACCCTTGCTTAATTTTTGCAGCAGAACAAAATAAAATAGGTATTAAACTGTGCAGGTATTTTATGAAGGAAATTAAATCTATATTTTCAGTTTTGTTTTTACGTTAATTTATTTATCTGTGCAGAAGAAATTGACTGGAATAATGTTGACATGGAAGACTCCAGAGAAAGGTTGCCACAAAAGCCACTTAGTCCCAACGCCATGAAGATGTTTTCGAACATTGTACTTCCAGTTGATGAGGAAGATTACTTGCGGCCTGGGGCTGCAGCACAATCGCTTGCTTATTTAGACCTTGATGGCAAAGGTATGAATGTTTATTTTTATTTTTGTTGTTGTTCTGTTTGGTATTCCTATGCTTTATGTTTTTCATAATAGTTTTTTTTTGGGAGTAAGCTCATTAACAGGTAAAAAGTCTTAGTTAGATGTCTGGAAAGTCATTGACACACAAAGAGGACTTCAATTTTATAAGAATAAATAAAAATACTCTAAAGACCACATTAACAGGTTAAACTCAGCATGCAGTAAATACAACATGAAGATCAATGTAAACAAAACCGAAACAATGCAAGTTAGTAGAACCCCTGCCCCACTACACATACAGCTGAATGTTTCTGCCCTGAATCAAGTTAGGGAGTTTAAATATCTAGGAAGTATGATCACAGAAGATGGTAGAATTGACAGAGAAATAGAAACCAGATGTCAGAAAGCAAGTGCACTTATATACCAATTGTCACCATTATTAAGCCATCCAAGCATAACAATGAGCGCAAAGAGACAGATTATTAATAGCATATTCATTCCAACATTAAGCTACCTGTGCCAAACGTGGACACTATTTAAAGCCCATATACGCAAAATCACCGCCTGTGAGATGAGGTGCCTGAGAAAAGCGACCAACTTAACATAAGAGATCGAGTGAATATTGAAACAGTCAGGCAAATTATTTGAACGACACCTTGTACTAGATTCATAGAGAAACGGCAGATCAAGTGGTTTGGCCATCTCGTTAGAATGCAGCAAGATCAAATACCATCACGAGCACTACATCTTAGAAGATCAGCTACAAGAGCAAGAGGACGGCCGCGGAAAATCATGGATCGACAACATTAAAGGCACTCTACGCCTTCACGGCATGACAATAGCCAGTGGCAGCCAACGTGCACTGGATCGCAAATTATTCCTCCCCACGACGCTTAACGGCAGAATTGGTTTATGAATATGATGATGACTCTAAATTTTGGGACAGCTAATGCTCAAAATGTCTGAATAAAGCTGTCATTTCTTCTACGTCTTCTCCTCCTTCACCAGCTGTAAACTTAAGTCGAAGATTCTTGTTGTTTATCTGTTTCTATGCTCTGGTCTTTCCCAGAACTTGAATTTTGCATTTCTGTTTTGCAGATATCTTCTTCTTCTTCAGGATTCAGCGCCCTTGAGTGTCATTGCTGAAGATATCACCTGCCTCCATTCATTTCTCTGGTTGGCCTTTTCTTTCCAGTTGGTGACATCAGTTGTTTGCAGGTCTGTCTGGACATTATCTCTGCATTGTCTTCTTGGTCTGCCTTGTGGTCTACGACCATTCATCTCCCTTGTGTATACAGTTTTTAACTTCTCTGTCAACTGACATTCTTTCAATATGGCTCAAACATTTCAGTCTATTAGCTTTCATGATGCCAGTGATCAGTAGTGATTTGAACAGATAATGAATTTTGTTGTTGCATCTCACTCTCCATTTCCCATTTTTGAAGATTAAACTTGTTTAAATGCAGACTATTGGTTCCCTTTTCAAAATGATCTTGGCTTCCAGGTCGACCTAGCCTTGAGTGGGTACTGGGTGCAGTCCCGGAAAGTAAAGGTGGCCGGCGTGATGCTGACGACATCACCCATCTTATGCCGAATGGTCATAAAAATATAGGTCTAGCCCTATATGCCCTATACGCCTAAAGGCATGGAGAAGGGTCCTTTACTTTTTCTTTACTTTATTGGTTCCCTGCATCTCAGCCAGGTTTTTTCTGACTTTGAAGGAAACACCAATATTTGGTGACTTCCTATATGGCATGCATGAGGGGGGGGGGGGGGGGGGGGTTGTAAGTAAATAATCCCCCCCCCCCCCCTCCGCCCACATGGGGGCCTGGAACCTACACGAGAAGAAATGCTGCCATTTAAAATATTTATTTGTGCCTTTGTGCTAATAATTGTTTTTGTTACCATCATTCTAAACTCTTTGAGTTCTGTCTGTTCAAAATAGGTTACTACCAAAATGAGAAAAACACAGAGGCAGCCTATGATGACTCATTTGCAGATGATGATGATGACACCCTGCCCGAGCCAGTCTATTCAGCTAATGACAACAGCGGTGGCAATCATCGGCACCGTCAGGGGGACAAATCGGCTACTACAGTGGCTGTGGCCAATCCTGATTACTTTGAAGAGAATGACGTTGATGTTTGGGAACAGAAAAAGCCACTACGAAATGGTTATCACCTTGTTCCTAGCAGCTCTATATCTCCTGTGCATAAAAACAGCAAAGACAATTCAGATTCATATTATAAAAGTATGAAAGCACCCACGCAGTCCAGTCCAGACTTTTCACAAAGGTTGAATACAAAAGTGACTATGTCTGGTCTTCAATTAGACGACCCTGTGTCTAAAGTTTGAAGCCACTTCACCGGCAGGAAACAATACAGGTGGCCTGAATTGTTAGGGCAAATGGTGTCTTTGTGATGGAAATACTGACTCAGTTTCATCATATATATATATAAACTGCTTCACACATGAAAGGAAGATTTGAAGTTTGACACCATTTAGTTTAAAAATTCTAGCTTTGATGATGTTTTGCTTATTGAATATTGGTTCCTCTGATTAAACTACAACATTGTAAGTTGATGGGACACATATTCTCATTAAACAGCATAATCATTTACTTGGTTTCTCATTTTTGAGGTATCAACTTTGAATAAACTAGACTTCTCTCTTGTGTACAAACAGCAAGCAGTTCTCTATGAGTCTCACATCAGCCATATTTGTATCAGCTTTGGCAAAAATCAATCAAGCCTTCAAATATAGACCCTGCAGAGAATGTAATACTTAATATGTGTGTGCAAAATGACACTTGACAAATTTCTATTGGGTGCAGATTTGTTAGTTTTTTAAAAATGTGTGGAACTTAGTTCTTTGTCACATTGTATGTTGACGGTTGCAGCCAATTTGGCCTTGTTATTTGTTACAGTTCAGTCGCAGCAGAGTTCACCTTGTTACTTGTTGTGTGTTCAGTTGTGATAATGAAAAGTTATTTAATTAGATATTATTAAGTTTTTACTAAGTTTAAAAAGAAAAAAATAGAAATCAATACTGTGGCATTCTTTAGTTATCAAGGATTTCTATTGTGAGGGATTTTAACTGTGAGGGCCTAAAGAGTGAAGTATAGGCTCTGCTTGCTCATGCTGTCACCCTATGGTTATCTGGAACGGGCTTATTTTAACATTTCACTACAATTAGGTATCAATATTAAGTTTATAGATACTACTCCTCCAACAACAAAATTATACACAACTATCTTGTCTGTTTGGCAGTTGCTATAGTGCAGTGGTTAGACCCTTGCCTGCTGGCCTGAAGGTCTCACATTTTAATCTGCATTAGGTGGATTAAAAAAAAATATTTACCTTGGGGTGCAGCTGTGGTGTATTGGCTCGCCTGTGGACACCTCCCCTCCCCCCCCCTCTCCCCTCCCAACCACCTTTTTAAGAAAAAGTGACTTTGTCTCAAGTTTGACTCAGCTTTAAATGGGTACCAGGTAAAGTCATGAGAAGTTAAGGTGGCCAGCATTTTTTTGTAACCACTGCCAGCACCGAATGCTGATTGGTCTACAACATATAGGTCTACGATATGTTCTATATGCCTGAGGGCATGGATCAAGTGGGGAAGGGAGCAGATTGTATGAGGCAGTGGTCTGTGAAGAAACGGTGCTGATGTGATGTTGACTGTATTACCCACTGAGGGCTGATGGATCTATACAAATATGAATCTAAACACCAAATACCTATGTACCGATGGTGTCATGAAAAGATATCAAGCAAATAAAAATGAAAACCAGTCAGCTTCTTCTTCTGCCTTTCTAACCCTCACTAGAGCCCTCAACCAACTCGCACACACCAAGTCGTTTAGCTTCACATTATCATGCACACAAAGGACAAGTGAATGCTGCGGCTAGAGAGCCTGCATCAGCACATTACATAAATCTACAGTGCCACAAATATGATCAAGAATACACAAAATCACTTAGCTGATGTATTTTCAATAGAAATCACATTGCAGTCCGGCCAGTACAATTAGTAGAAGCCAATTGTATCTGAAGGATTCTTTACTTTTTATTTACTGACTACTCAATTCTTCTTTTATATATAAAAAATATAAGAAAATATCATCTTTTGGAGTTTTCTGTTTTTGCACTCTAAATAAGAGTTTAGAGAAAAACATCCACATTAATCAAAGTGTCAAATAACATAAAAGAAACAATTACCAATAACTGATGTCTAGTGTGCAGATATCAGAGTGATAGTTGATTGTGTTTTGTCTTGATGATATCTGCTATTTTTGGTCTGATGTTTAGTCAAGGCACAATGGAATAGTGAACAAAATAAAAGTGTTAATATAACAGATAATTACAAGAACAAATGGACGCAGCTTCATAAATGCTCCATGTCCCTGTTGAAACTTCCTTGCTAGCCCTCTTGGTAAAAACTACTGCTTTAGAGACAATTTCATAGTCTTGGAGAGCTCAGATTCATTGATGGTATAGAATAAATGACTGTAACTGGAATAAATTCATGTAAGAGAGGTCTGGGATAAAAAGAGTTGAAAAATATAGAATAATGAGTAAAAGAAAATTGAATTTCTTTGTGAGTCACTAACAGAGTTTAAAAAAAAAGTACCTTTAGCCTCTGAAGTGAGGCTGAAACAAAGCAAATCTCTGCAGATATAGTAAAAAAGAAATTCTGTGTAAATTTGTTGTATGTGTGTATAAAACTTATAGTTTAAGACAATCATCTCTTAGATGTGTGGGCAGTGTTGAAAATTTTATTATGACCATAACAAGTACGTTCGTCGCGGATCAGAAGTTCGTGAGTTCGCTACCTGGCGGAGCTGGACTTTTTTCAAACATGATCTTGGCTCCAAGGTCGACCCAGCCTTGAGTGGGTACCTGATGCAGTCCCGGGAAAGTAAAAGGCGGCCGGCGTGATGCTGACCACATCACCCATCTTGTGCCGATTGGTCTATAAAAATATAGGTCTAGCCCTATATGCCCTATACGCCTGATGGCGTGGAAAAGGGTCCTTTACTTTACTTACATAACAAGTGGTTTTTTAAAGCACATACCCACAACTCCTGCTTGCTGTACTAGAAAGTATTCACTTGTATATAATTATATCACATTTCCTTGTGTGCCAATAGTGTATCAAAACAGACATTCGTTTTTAAATAAATTTTTTTTTATTTATGTATCTGCATGTTCATACAATGATTAAGAGGTGTCAGATGTCAGCGCTAATACATTTTGTACTTCACATTTTCTTTGATTTGTTATAATTTTTAAGCAAGATGCTCAACTAACAAATAACTCATTTTGTATGAAGTAGCTCACCAGATCTTGATCAGTCTCTTATTCTATGATCAAAATACTTTTTCAGTTTTCTTGACTGCCATGTTTTGAGTCAGATTATTAATTTAATCTAGTTCAGTTTTGGTGTGGCTCTGCTATTTTGACGACTCCAGTTGCAGACACTATATATTTTAAATGCCTTTGATGAAGTTCTTTTTTTTTTTTTTAAGTTGAATTTTTCTGATCTTAGACAGCAATTTGATGATTCTGATCTTAGACAGCAATTTGATGATTCTGATCTCTTAGACAGCAATTTGATGATTCTGATCAGGACAGCGATTTGATGATTCTGATCTCTTAGACAGCAATGTGATGATTCTGATCAGGACAGCAATTTGATGATTCTGATCAGGACAGCAATTTGATGAAGCCAGTTAAAGACTCAACCAGTTGCTGCAAGCCCTCTTTGTCCTTATGTCAATTATATTAACTCCTTCTGCACCAAATATTTATTACATTAATAGGTATAATCGTGAAACTCATTCACAAAGAAGAAGAAGAAGAAGAAGAAGAACAAGATTTTAATGTCTGGCCAGTACCTGAATGATCTTTTTTTAAAATATTTTCACTGAATATAAACTCCAGATGCGTTGTTCATCCACTTTTGGACTCGGTCTTAAATAGAAAATGTGAGTATGCACATCTGTTTTAAAAATCTGGCTTATTTGTATGCACACAGTTGGTTCCTCACCACTCGGGCAGATGCACTGTGACATTGAAGAAAAACACCCCTAATTAGTTGCTTGTACAACATGCTTTTTAGGAGACAGTGGTTCTGTTCTGGTATTAGAGTAGATCTTTCCCCTACCTTGTACACAGGCGCCTGTTGTGCCTGAGCTACTCACAACAACAACACATTCGAGAAACAGCAATCATTCACAGAAAACACAGTTGTGATAAGAAAGCTGCACAGTTTCAACTGGGAGACTGTGTTGACCACGGCAAATGAACGTTAGCCAGTTTTGGCCACAGAATGTATAGACAGGGAAGGAAGGCATCTTATAATGCCCCCACAACTTAGGGCAGCCCATGGGAACTGGCACGACATGAAGCCTGGGAGCTGGCACAAAATCTTGTGCTCGAGTGAGATGGGGTGACTTCCATGATTAGTACCTATCAATGCAGTGGCAATGATTGGGAAAGGGGAAGGAGGGGGGATCATGTGATGAATGGAATAGCTACCTGTGTAGAAAGACTTAAGATCAAAACAGCCTTTATCAGTAAAACAACAAAATGGTAATAAATTGACATATTATTTTAATTTCTTAGCTTATTAATTTACATAAACATTTACTGTATAATATGTTATAAAAATATAAACCATTTATATGTGGGGAGAAGTCAATAAATAACTAAGTCACAAATGGTTGTTTAAAAAAAAAAATTATAACAACTTGAAAACCATTTATTTTTACACACACTTTTGCAACATAATATCCACCAACATTGATGCGCTTGTCCTATAATTTTATCAGTCCCCCCAAACATAGAACTGCGTGCTCCTTTTTCTAAACCAAATTTCACTTCACACTCAACTTCCATGTCATTTACAAAATGTCTCACACCAAGGTGGGTTTTCAATGGACTATAAAAAGGTAGAAATCACTAGGGGCTAAACATTTGTCAGCATAAACAGAAAGCATTTCCTTATGAATGTCCTTTGCCGGCAGCTTTTTTTGCGCCCCCCCCCCCCCCCCCCCCCCCCCCAAAAAACACACCCTCACAATAACATGTTCTTTGAGGGTACACTCTGTATGTACAGTCCATTTTTTTTTTGTGTTGCGAATGTGCATGCAACACCTAGTGCCACCTAATGAACTAAAACATAAAAGTTCCGTGTTTGCTGTCACCTATTGACACCTTTAGAAACCACCAACTATATTTTCTTGCCATCCCATAACCATTTGTGACTTATTGACTTCCTCTCATATTACCTGGTTATGATCAGACAGTTAAATGATACATTTCTTTTTCTTTTTTTTTTTCGTATCCAGAAACC